CAGGATAGGCTGATCCTCCCTGGGCCGCAGCACCCACGCCACGCCCCGGGGTAACCCCAAAGCCTGGGCCGCTGGCAGGGCAGTGGACGCTCCCCTGCCTGGGGGGTCTGGTTTCTCCGCCCAGTTCCTGTGCGGGCCGACGCCAACGTCTCCCGCCACCTCTGGGGCACTGCCAGCTGCTGAAGGTGGAGGCCTGGCTCTGGCGCGGAGGGCTGCGCTCCCAGACTACTGGGGCGAAGGCTCCAGAGACTCACCTCTTCGAGCCTCGGCCCCACCCATCGCACGGGCCGCTGTGGGCTCGCAGGGCACCCCCGGTGCTTGGCACCATGGCTAGTGCCCAGGGAACACCAGTTAACACAAGCCCTGGCCCCAAAGGTCAAACTCAGCCACCTAAAGGGACCCCTGCCCTGAGCACCTCCATTCAAACAGGCGCTCCCCCCAGCCCCAAGGCCCCTCTGAAAAAAGCCCCAGGGAACACACACGGGAGGGGGCAGATGGTGACTGATGGGGTGAGCCCCAGCACAGGAGCTGTGGGTCAGGCCACAGGCCCCCTGAGGCCCCCTGAACCCCATAAGAGCCTATGACAAAGGCCCAGCCTGCCCTGGCTGGCACTCCCTGCCACGGTGCCAGGGCCCAGTCCTTCAGGGGCTACAACACTGCCCTGCTGTCCAGCTGAGGGGCACACGACCTCGTCCTGGGCTGTGCCCCTACCAGGGATGGTGCAATAGAACTGCAGAGGAAATGCCCCGGAGAAATGGTTCCCGGGGGAAGGACAGCTCCCAGACAGACTTCAGGCTGGAAAGGGGGCTGAAGCGGGGAGAGGCCTCCCCGCCTCCCTGCTCTACCTGCCGCTTCTCCCGCTATGTGAACTTCTCTAGCCACGTCTGAACCTGCTGCATGAGTCCCTGTCTACTCTTCCAAGCCGTGAGCCAGGCCCCCACATGCAGGGAGGGCTCGGGGGTCCTTTCTGTCCCCTCCTCCACGGGCTGGATCCTGTGCCAGCTGGAGCCGTGGTAACACCTCCTACCCAGACGGGCTCAGAGAGCCTCACTCCACCCTTTGTCTCCCTGGCAGAACCAACCCACAGTGGGACATGTGGGGCCAGAGCCCGGCCCACTGCGGATGCCCCTGTGCTAAGGAGTGGACGCTGGGAAGAACATGCTCAGAACAGC